CCAGCCCAAGACAGGGAAATTGCTCAAACTGGCCCCTTGTAGCAATATGTAAGGATTCTGAGTTTTCCGTAGGCTGGTTCAGTCTGTGACCAAGGTGCGATACTTTCAAGAAAAGCAAAATTCTACTGCATGTATCCCCAATGGAAGATATACTTTCTTACTAGTGTCTTTGCCTCATGTAAATGAGAACTCTCTAAATAGGCTGTTTATTGGTAACATTTATAAAATCTTACTGGAATGTACACCTTTAAGTGTCTCTGACATATGTCTGTCTATTAGAAAAAGTGATGTCACTTTCTAGCATACAGAGCAAGCATGTTTATAAATGAGCGTTATGGCCATTGATTAGGACTGAGCTAGACCCTTTACTTTCATTATTTTGAACCTTCACAGTAACTTAACAAAGTGGGTTATTGTAGTCATTTTAGGAGGAGACCACACGGGACCTGCCCCGTTAGGAATGGTGACCGTGGAAGGGTAGAGCTTCAGTCACAACTCCTTTCCCTTGGGCATACAGCCAACCTCCACCCCTGCCCTACCCACAAGGACTAGAGTATGGCAATAACGCTTTCTTCTTTTCCCCTTGGATGCCCCTCCTGTGACAGATTACTGGTGGTCTGTGGACAGACTGGCAACCTGCTCAGCCTCCTGTGGTAACAGGGGGGTTCAACAGCCCCGGCTGAGGTGTCTGCTGAATGGCACAGAGGTCAGCCCTACTCACTGTGCAGGGAAGGTTCGCCCCGCTGCACAGCCCATCGCCTGCAACAGGAGAGACTGTCCTTCTCGGTAAGTGGCAAATGCTGGCCCTGGCCTCCCTGCTGTGCTGAAATATCCTCAGAGTGTCCTCCTCTCTCAGCTCTGTTTATTCCAACTGGACTTCCCATAGGGTCAGACATTCAGGGAACCAGAGCATTCCACACCCTGGCACAACACACTCCCATCCTACAGTATTTGTTGGGGGCCAGCAGGTGGCTTAGTGGTTAAGGCAGTGGACTCCCACAGGCCAACTGCTGATCAAGTCCCAGACCTGGTGACTTAAAAATCATGCTGAGCACATGTGTGCCCAGAATCTCTAGAGAAGGGATTCATCCCTGCTCACTTTCCCTTGCTGTCTGGTGAGCATATGAACCATATGACAAAACCTTTAAAAAAAAAAAAAAAAAAGGTTTTATTCAGGCCAGCAGGTGGTATAATTATGGCACTGGATCCTGCATGGCCAGCTCCATGGTTCAAGTCCTAACAGCTTGAAAAACACACCAGGTACATGTTCAAAATACTGAGAGGAGAAGGGAGTGTTGTGTGGCCACCCCTGGTGGCGGGTGCTTTCTCACTTTCCCTGTATCTCTGGTAAGTGCACACACCCAAATCTTTAATTAAAAAAAAAAAAAATAGTGTTTTCAGTGGACATGCTGGGAAGACAGGGATTACTGGATTCTACCTTAAATCTTCCCTTTAAATACCTGTGCTGGGCCAGCAGATGGTGTAGCAATAATATCACTGGGCTCCCATATGGTCAATGGTGGTTTGAGTCCCAGACCCGGTGGTTTAAAACACCAGCATATGTGATGGCATGGCCACCCCCACCCCCACCCCCGGGCAATTCCCTCTCATTATGTCTGTCTGTCTCTCTCTCTGGCAAGCACATGTGGCCTAAGGCAAAAACCTCTAAAAACAATACCCGTACTAAGGTCAGCCAGTAGTTAAGGTGGCTAAATAGCCCTATGTATGGTTCAAGTCCTGGACCTGACAGTGACAGCTTGACGAACATGCCAGGCACATGTACATGCCTAAAATTCTGAGAGAAAAATGGAGGCGAAGGGATGGCAATGTGACCATCCCTCATGGGGGAGATGCATTCTTATTTTTTCTCTCTCCAGCCTGTGCATGTACCCACTAGCAAATTAAAAATAGAACAGAAAATACCTGTGCTAGCCAGTGCCCCAGTTTACTTGAGAATATCATACCCTCTTCATTTCTACAAAGGGCTACATTTTACTGTAATTTGAATAAATCTCCATTTCCTAGAGTTGCCTCAACTTTGGATAAACGTTCTCTGCATTTAGTTCTCTTACATACTCCAAAATGACCCCTGAGTCCCTGTCCTCATCTTCATGTTTTGAGAAGGTCTGAGTCACACTGAGCACCCCACCTCCAGTAGCTAAAGGGGTAATGGATAGGCTTGGAGTTGGCACCAAATTGGTGTTCTGAGCCCAGGGGGACCTGGCTCGGCCCTGAAACGCCCATTTACTACCTATCTGTAGGACTTCCATACAGCACTTAGGCAAGCGCTTTGTGTTTTGCCAGCTGAGTCATGAGGCGCAGCTGAAACCAGGAGAGGCTCAATGAAATATGAAACACACTCATTAATATCAGCAGTTTGACTTGCTGACGGGAAGGTTTCCACTGGAATGATTAATGTCCTTTTATACCCTTCCTGAACTGTAACGTAGCCCATACCTCTGCTTTCTCAAGCCCCCCACCCCAGCTCCTGAAAAATTGCTGAAATGTATATTTGGAAATAAAAGTTGATTGAACTGCAGGCCTGACATTCACCAGGGATATAAGCAGCTGGAAGACTGCCCTTGCCACGCTGTATGAAATGAAGAAGAGATCCTTGACGTGCCAAGAACTTTTTGATTTGATTTGGTGATGGTCAGAGTCAATCAGCCTAATTTACTTCTGCAAATGAAATAATTATGGCTCTGTCGTCTTGGGTTTCAGTCCCCCCCCCGCCCCTCGGAGTTTTAAAACACCTCGTGCCTGCTTCCTAAGTGGCTCTGCTCCTGTGGGTTAGAAATCCGCACATAGTCACCCCTCTCCAGGGCAAAGGAGCAAGGCAGTCACCACAAAACTAAATAAGTCACAGATCCAGACTCCGGAAGAATATACTCCCTTCTCTGCTACATCTCTCTTCAGAAAGCCAGATTGTGACACCACTTGGCTAGAAAGTGGCCATAGCTCACCTCTGACTGGCTGTCCTACCAGGCTTTTTGGACATGTTCACATATTTGTTTGCACACAAACAAGTGCTGCCCCAGTCATCTTTCTGAATAAAACTGGCAACTCCTGGGAACAGCAGTTAGTGTAATGTCTATCTCACTGGACTCCCACATAGTCGACCGTGGTTCGCGTCCCGGACCCGGTGGCTTAAAACTCATGCTGGGCACGTGTTTGTGTGTGCCCAAGATCCCGAGAGGAGAATGGAGGAGAAGGGATTGCGGCATGGCCATCCTCCCTGGGGGGTGATTTCTCGCTTTCTGTCTCTCTCTCTCTCTCTCTCTCTCTGTCTGTCAGTCTGTCTGGCGAGCACAAACACCCTATAGCAAAAAACTCTGGAAAAAAAAAAACTGGAAACTCCTAACCATTTCACATTAGTTTCTCAGGCAATAAAACCAAAGACTTTTTTCCCCCCTGGATTGTAATGAAGTGGCCAAAGAGCACCAAATCTTTTCTCAATCTTTTTCCTAATCTGTCCCTTTTCCCTCTTTAAGAACCATCAGGGTGCACACACGCTCAGAATCCCCACATCTGTATATGGATCAAGGAATTCAGGGTGTCCTCCAGATCACAGTTTGGTCTTTTAAGAAAGGCCTATTTGTCATGGTCTTGGACAGTCAGTTCTGGGGACAATTGGAGTTGGAACCTAACATTCTGAATACAGCTATCAGTATTTCTGCCACACAAGTAGGCCTCTGAGAGTTACACATGAGGCCCGTAGACTGGCTCCTGGACATAGGAAACTGCCCCTCCTTTGCCAAGTACCCAATGACTTTAGGAAGTACCAGGCCTATCTGCAATCTTAGGACCTTTGGGGCAGCTGAGGCAATAGGCTTTCAGAATATTTTTTACCTTTCTGGTCAATTTCCCAAGTGGATTAGTTTCCCAAAATCACCACCAAGTAACTTAAAACAACAAAAAATCTATTCTCTTACTGTTTCAGAGGTCAGAAGTCCAAAATCTATGAGTCGGCAGGGTCACACCACCTCCAGAGCCTCGAGGAGAGACTCTTGCCCTGACTCCTTCCAGCTTCTGGTAGCTCCAGGCCTTTCTTACCTTATAGTGGATGATTCCAGCTTCTGTGTCCAGTCATGTGGCCACCCCCTCTTCTCTGTGCATCATCTCCCTCTGCCTCTTTACTCTAAGAACACTTGTGATGGCACCTAGATAATCCAAAATAATCTTATCTCAAAAATCTTAATTATGTCTACAAAGACACTTTTGCCAAATAATGTGACAGTCACTGGTTCTAGGACATTGACATGAGATCTTTTCAGGGACTGGTTGTCAGCCTTCCATTCCACATAAAATACAAGGCAACTTCCAAAATTTATGGTGTTAAATTTTTTTCAGTCTATGTGTATTTTTTTTTCCAACATACATCGTATTTTCCATGAACTTTTTGAAGACTTTATACTATGAAAAGGGTCTTGGTTCCCAAATTAGCAGTTATGAGGTGAGAACAGGGATATGCCCTATACTGTTCCCCAAGGCCTGACTCTCTGGGGCCCCCCTGATGCTTCTTCCTCTCCCCAGGTGGATGGTGACCTCCTGGTCTGCCTGTACTCGGAGCTGCGGGGGAGGTGTCCAGACACGCCGGGTGACCTGTCAAAAGCTGAAAGCCTCTGGGATCTCCACCCCTGTGTCCAATGACCTGTGTACGCAGCTCGCCAAAAGGCCGGTGGACACTCAGGCCTGTAACCAACAGCTCTGTGTGGAGTGGGCCTTCTCCACCTGGGGCCAGGTGAGGAACCAGAGAAGTGTTTATTTGGAGAGTAAATCTAAAAGTATAAAAAGTAAAATGCCACCTTGTCCACCTCCTCTGACCTTTCACATTCCCCTCTGTCACTAACCCTACCCAGGATCATTCCTGTGGCCAGAGCTTCTGATATTCTACTTTAACACACAGTGCCCAGACCCATTACACTCTTCCCCTTGATTTCCCTTTTTTGCCTCCTCATCAAGCCCTCGTACCCCTTCTTCAGACTCGCATTCTGTCAGCTGCCTCCTCTCAATGGAAATGCTGAGTTAAAGATTGAAAGCTGAGGAGACTCATCTGAAAACTCCAGTGTTGTTCTGGGCCAAGGGTTCTTAACTGGGTTTCAGTTGCAATCTCTGAGTAATTGTTTCTATAAGACTAGCATGCAGAGATTCTCTGTCAGTTGTTCTGGGGTAGAAGCCAAGCATGGGTAATTTTCAGAAACTTCCCAGGTAATTCCATATGGAGTCAGGGTAGAGAATCATTATTCCCACCCAGGAAAAGTTGGAGCCTAGCTGATTCACTTAAGCCATTAACACCTTTCTCAGTTCTCTGCCTAGAGGTTAACACAAGAAGTCATAGGTATACTCAATACATAGCAGAAAGCGGGGCCCATTTGATTCCAGGTACCTAAGGATGGAGCCTCCTCTGAATACAGTAGAACCACCATGATGACTTTCTCCACATGGTTAGTTATAATTTAAGAGAGAGGTCACTACAAACTGACCTCAGGGGAGCCACCCCGAGCACTGAAACACACTGTGCTGGGAGAGAAGCAGCCTAGAGGTGGGGTGCTGAGTGACCTCACCTCTGCACTCTCATTGTATCTGGGCCAGGAACCCCAGTTGTCATTAGAGGCCTGGGTTTTCCCCAGTCCAAGTTGATAAAGCCTCTATTAGACAAAGAATAGTTATTCTAATCCCTCAGAATATAGCAGGCACTAAAAAAAGAAAACAGAAAAAAATCAGGTGTGGAGATGCTTGTGGGAAATGATATAATTACATATACTTTGTTTCATAAAAGTCTATGTCTAAAACCTGTTGGAGACTTACCAGCCATGTAAGGGCTGATATTCAGGTAGTATCGACAAGCTGGGTGGTTATAGTCATTCTAGGTATGGAGCTGGTGCTAATTGGTAGAACGACCATTCTGATTAGTCAGGCATAGTTTTTGGTTGGTTGGCATCCAGACCATACCATTAAGCTCAGCCAGCTGAAATACCCCCAAGAACAAGCCTTTAATTCTTTGTGTAACTGTATCAACCAATGTGATTGAATATTTGGGGGCAATTAGCTATCTACACATTACTACATTCATGTCCCTCCACCCCTACCCCCAGGTGTGTTCTTTGGAAAACAATTACTTGCAACTTTCCATTAAGTTAACACACTGTGGACATCTCTAATGAAAATCAAATGTTATTTTCATAGAGTTTGCTTTCAACTCATGAGCCATTTATGTCTCGGGTAAATCTGGGGCTAATGTTCACCACTGGCCAATCAGCATGCCTGGTGGAAGCTCCTTTCTGAAACCTCTGCCAACCCCTCCTCATTTCCAATGACATAATGTATGTGCTTCATAATCAAAGAGGCATGAGCTCCCCTTGCCTCCACACCTGAGGGGATATCATCTTTCTCTTAACCTGGAAAAGTCCACTTCTGATAGCCCTCATTCAGCCCAAGGCAGCTCCGCTTCCAGACCCTCAAGGCTTACTGGCAGTTTGTGAAATTACAATTGGGAACAGATCTGGCTACACATGGGAAATGTTTCTGCATTGTGTCATCAAGGTCACTCAAGGGAACATACGGTGCACATTTGATCATTCTCGGTGATTACTCTTCCTAACAAAGGGGAAAATTCATAGGTCTTTCTCTATTCCTCCTTCCCTCTCAAAAATCTCTCACCCCCATGGGAACCAGCAGTTAGCGTAATGGCTATGTCGTTGGACTCCCACGTAGTCGACCGCGGTTCGCGTCTTGGACCCGGTGGCTTAAATCTCACGCCAGGCGCGTGTGCGTGCATGCCCAATATCCCGAGAGGAGAATGGAGGAGAAGGGATTGCGGCGTGACCATCCCCCCTGGGGGGTGATTTCTCGCTTTCTGTCTCTATGTCTCTGTCTGTCTGGTGAGCGCACACGCCCTATAGCAAAAACCTCTCCAAAAAAAAAAAAAAAAAATCTCTCACCCCTTTCTTCCCCCCTACCTAAAATCTTCTAGACCAGGATGTCCCAAGCTTTAACCTGAATCACTTGGGGCCTTGTTAAGAATGCAGATTCCATTATGGTAGGCCTAGGGTAAAGCTTGGGATGCCGAATTTCTAAAAATTCAGGTGATGCCAATGCAACAGGTCCAAGGGGCCACGTTTAAAAAAGTAGTGAGGCCTGGGCCATTACAAATTCTGGGGAACTGCTTCCTCTTACAAGTCTGCTGTCACTTTTGTGTTGGAGTTGTTGAAAGGTGCTTGTAACTGTGGATGCCCCTCAAACCTCTACATTCCATTGCTGTGAGAAGGAAAATGCCGATAGCTTCTGACAAGAAAATCCTTTTGGAATAGCATCATGCAAATATCTTTCTTCATCTGCCTACATCCTTAAGGCGTACAAAAATCATGCTGATTTCAGTCCAAAACAGACTAACTTCTTAGCTCCAACAACCTGGCTTCGTGTATATTCAACTTTCTTCTTTTATCCAACATACATTCGTGGGGCACCTGTCTTGGGTGCAGAATGTTTTCTGTATAAGCCTGTGTGAGAGAATGTTTGCAGGAGAGTTAGGTAAAGGCTGGAAATAGAAATGTGACTGGAAAACAGGTGCCAGATTGTAGAGTCTTACGTGCTGTACGAGGAGTTTGGATTTTACTATGAATGCCACTAGAAAAGCGTTTTAAGCAAAAGTGGCACAATCTTAAAGGTTATCTTGTCAGCAGGGTAGTGATTGAACTTCAAAGGGACAAGGCTGGAAATAATGATGGTGATCAGAATGAAGACACTAGGCAGTGGAAATGGAGTCTGTGAAAGTGTGACGCACAGGGCTGCAGTGACCCTTTTGGATATCAAAGATGAGAGAGAGAGAGAAGCAGCCAAGATTGGACTGGAGGTTTATTGGACTGAATACTAGGTAGGAACATAGAAAAAAAGAGGGTAAGTTAGTAGCATAACTTGTTGTAGACATGTTTGGTTTGAAATGTATGAAGTATCCAAAGTACAGTCGTTCATTAAGGAGTTAGATGTGCAGGCCTGGGACTTAAAAGAGCTGGGCTGAACATTATCAGTCGGAAGGACTTTGGTGTACAAAAGGTAGCTAGGTCTCATGGGCGTTATCACCCAAGGAGGTGGTGAAAATGAGATGAAGGAAAGGAAAGGAACAGAACCCTTGGAAACACTACTTAAACTATGAGACAAAGGGCAGGCCCTCAGAAGAAGACTCCTTCCTGGCTCCTGAGAACTAGTGATTTCAGGGAAAAAAAGAGAAATGAAGATTTTCTACTGATAATTCAGTCTTCAGCCCACAAACTCAAGTGATAGATCTAAAGGAATTATAGCCAAATACTGTTAGGGTGAACATATTCCTCAATATCCACTAAATCTGCTGCACAAAGGTATAAAAACGAAATGGCAAAGAGATTTCAGATGACCTCCTTCTGCTCGTCTCTGAACGCTCAGATTGAACTTCAAGAATTAGGAAGAAACACACCATCCATCAGATGACTAGAAATCACCACAGGGCCATAAGAAATATGGGAAAACAAGAATATACCTCTCCTCCAAGAGAAAAGAATAACTCCTCTTCATCCACAGAAAGTTCAATGGAAATGTCTGATAAAGAATTTAGGATATTCATAATGACAAAGCTCACCGAGATGGAAGAGAAGAGAAACAATGAACTCCAGAAGAGGCAGGAGAAAGGAACTGACAAGTTCCAGGAGGTGAGGAATTTCTTGCAAGATCTAAAAGAGATATTACACACCATAAAATAGAATCAAACAAAACTGTTAGAGATGAAGGCTATAATACAGGAAGTCAAAATCTCCCTTGAAAGTATTAAAAGCAGACTAGATCATACAGAAAATAGAATCTTAGACGTAGAAGAGAAAATTGCTGGCCTAGAAAAATCCACCACATGACTGAGAAAATTGCCAAAAAATTAAGAATAATATAGATACCATCAAATGTCCAAATAAAATAAATTCATACTTTAACTGTAAAATTAATTAATTTTAAAAATCTGTGGGAATAGGAGGGAAAAAAACTAACCAAAAATCTCAGAAAATGTATTCAAAAAGGTCAATAGGAGCTTTTTTCAGAAGGAGAGAGGGTCAATGGTATCTGATTACATCAGAAAGAACAAACAAGATACAAAAGAAGCATTGACCAATACACACTGGAATTCGACTGTAGTCATTGGTGACTCTGAGGGGCACTTTCAATGTGGCAGCAGGCACTGAAGCCAAACCAGCAGAGGGTTGGGACACAAATGACAATGGAGGAAATAGGACCGCTAGGGCCACATTACTCCTTCAAGAATTCCCCATTGTGGTCAAGGAACATCAGCCAAAGAAAACCCCACATCCTTGTTCCTTCATGGAAATATAAAAAAACAACTAGAAACTAACTAAATTAACCAAGCTCCAGAAAACAGTGTGTCCAAAATGGCAACAGGAGCGAGAAACAGAGAAGGGATTTGCAGCATGACCATTCCTCATAGGAGGCCATGATTTTTCCAACAACCTAATAAAATTAAATGGTAAGAATTTTTGTGGCATTTTTACTCACCCTGCCCCCAGCCCTCTCACAGCACAGTCCTGATCTTGAGGTGGGAGTAGCCACTACTTCTGAAAGCCGCAGGAGGGCTGTACCTTCACACAGATACCTGCATCAAGAGAGACATCAGCAGTTCCCAACCTTTTTGACACCAGGGACTGGTTTTGTGCAAGACAATTTTTCCACAGGAGGGGAGGTAGTTTCAGGATGATTCAAGCACATTTACTGTGCACTTGGTTTCTGTTAGTATTATATTATAATATATAATGAAATCACTATACAACTCATCATAATGCAGAATCAGTGAGTCTTGAGCCTGTTTTCCTGCAACTAGACAGTTCCATCTGTGTGCTTCTATGAGAATATTGCCACTGCTGACCTGACAGGAGGTGGAATTCAAGCGGGTGATGGCAAGAGGTTGTAAATATAGGGGAACCTTTACTTGCTTGCCCACCACTCACCTCCTACTTGTGGCCCAGTTCCTAAAAGGCCATGGACCAGTGCCAGTCTGTGGCCTATGGGTTGGGGACCCCCGTATTAGATTATCTAAGGCCTAAGGAGAACTTGAAGTGAGAGAGTCTGAGAAACTAAAGTACTCAAAAGAAGCCATGAATATATGTGGGGGAAGTGAGAAAGCTTCACACGGGCCCAGGCAAAACACATGTTTTTGTTTTGTTTTGTTTTGGAGAGTTTTTTTGCCATAGGGGCACGTGCACTCGCCAGAAAGAGAGAGTCAGAGAGACAGAAGGTGAGAAACCACCCCCCAGGGGAGATGGCCACACTGCAATCCCTTCTCCTCTATTCTCCTCTCAGGATCTTGGGCACACACGCACACACACCCAGCGTGAGTTTAAGTCACCAGGTCCGGGACTCGAACCGTGGTAGACTACTCAACTACATGGGAGTCCAGCGAAATAGCCATTATGCTAACTACTGGTCCCAAGACATTAAGCTTTTAATTCAGGCTGATCATTAGGCTCATAGAATACCCAATTAATCAGTAAAGGACTGCCTTACCACAGAGCCAGGTCTCCAAACACTGGGAGAGGTGGCTGTTTTTCAAATACTCAATTTTCAACAACTACAAAAAAATCATACAAACAAAAAAAGGAAGAAGGCATAGCACACTACAAAGAAGAAACTGAGGCCACTGGGTTGCATAGTGGTTAAGGTGCTGGACTCCCACATGGCCACCTGCAGGATGTGAGTATATGCATGCCCAAAATCTCAAGAGGAGAATGGAAGAGAAGGGATTGCAGCATGACCATCTCCCCTGGAGTGGGGAGGGGGAGTGATTTCTACTCTCTGTCTGTCTCTTTGGTGAGCATACATGCCCTGTAGCAAAAAGATCTCAAAAATAAATAAATAAATAAATAACAGAACTACCAATATAAAAAGGATTATAGTAGAGTATTATGAATTAAATAACCTAGATAAAATGACCAAATTCCAAAGAACACATAACCCCGCAAGACTGATACACCTATAACTTATAAGGAGATTAAATCAGTAATCAGACATCTGCCAACCAAGAAAATCCATGGATCAGATAATCTGACTGGAGAATTCTGTCAAAATTTAAAGAATTTATACCAATCCTTCTCAAACTTTCACTAACACTTATTTTTATTTTAAATTTTTTAAACATTTATTGATTGATTCATTGTAATTTTGGACCCACCAAGTCTGGGACTCAAATCATGGTCAGCCATGTGGGAGTCCAGCACCTCAGCCGCCATGCCACCTGCCGGGCCCTCACTACCACTTCTTAAATTCACCATATGAGGCCATCATTGCCACAATACCAAAGCCAAAGACTACAAAAAACTATAAACCAGTACACCTTATAAAGTGCTGTTGCACTGACAGAAACACGTGAGACTGAGTGATTTACAAGAACAGAGGCTTATTGCTCTTCTCGTAATAAGGTGATCTTTGAAAATGGTTCGCTATTCACTTGACCCAGAGAACCCCACACAGTCATGCAAATCAAGAGGTTCAAATTTTCATATTCACTGTAAGAACACTCATGAAACTGCCCAGGCCATCAAGGGTATGCATATCTGAAAAGCCACCAAGTATCTGAAGAATGTTACTTTATAGAAACAGTGCGTGCCATTCCATTGTTACAATGGTGGAATTGGTAGATGTGCCCAGGCTAAACAGTGGGGCTGGACACAAGGTCGGTGGCCAAAAAAAGAGTGAATTTTTGCTGCACATGCTTAAAAATGCAGATGAGGCTGTGATGTGGAATATGTCAGAACGTTGAGCAGAGCAGCTGTCCATAAATTTCTGCCTGTTCTGGTCTCTTTTCCCATCTTATAAACACACCAGAACTCAGTCCTAAGGTCCTTGTCCTAAGTACCTCATCCCACCCTGGGGTACCACAGAAAGATTACATTTAACTGAGCACCTTTAGTCCCAATATGTGAATGGGGGGCGGGGAGGCATCTAAACCATAGCAACATTCATGCAGAAATCTCCAACAGAATACTGGAAACCCAAATTAAGCAGCTTATTAAAGGGATTATATTGGGCCATCAGAAAAATATGTCATAACTTTTCTGATGACCCAATACATCACGAATAAGTAGGATTTATTTCTGGAATGTAAGCGTGGCTCAATGTTTGAAAATCAATTTAATGTACCACATTAGGTGAATGAAGGACAAAACTACATGATTACCCCAATCAATGCAGAAAACATACTTAACAAAATTTGACACCCTTTCTTGATTAGGAACATTCAAATTTGGAATAGAAGTAAACTGTCCCAAAAATAACAGAATGTAAATGAAAAACCCATAAGTAATGATACACTCAGTGACAAAGACCACAAGCTTCCTCCCCAATATCAAGAACAAGACATCAAGGTATTCACCATTTCTACATACTGAGATTTCAGAACAGAAAAAAAAAAAAAAAAAGAAAAAAGAAAAAGAAATAAAAGGCATCCACATTGGAAAAGAAGAAATAAAATTCTGTTCATGAGTACATACTCTCATATGTGAAAACCGTAGAATTCCAAAAAAAAATACAACCATTATAGCCAATAAATGAATTCGATAAATTGTAGGATACAAAATCAATATACGGGGGCTGGCAGGTGGTGTGGTGGTTAAGGTTGCTGGACTCCACATGGCTGACCACGGCTTGACTCTAAGACATGATGGCTTGCTTTCTCAATTTCCCTCCTTCTCTATATTTGTCTCTGGTCAAATTTTTTTAATAATAAAATTCCTCTTTCTGCCATATTTCTGTGCTGCCATAATGATGTGCATGAATGTCCTGGCTGATGCCCTCAAGAGCATCAAAAATGCTAAAAAGAGAAGCAAACATCAGGTTCCTATTAAGCCATGCTCCAAAGTCATTGTCCATTTTCTAACTGTGATGACGAAGCATGGTTACATTGTGAATTTGAAATCGTTGATGACCACAGAGCTGGGAAAATTGCTGTGAACCTCACTGGCAGGTTAAACAAGTGTGGAGTGCTCAGCCCCAGACTTGATGTGCAACTCAAAGATCTAGAGAAATGGCTGAATAATCTGCTCCCGTCGCGTCAGTTTCATTGTACCAACAACCTCAGCTGGCACCATGACCCATGAAGAAGCAAGACAGAAACATACAGAAGGGAAAATCCTGGGATTCTTTTTCTAGGGATGTAATACACAAATACAAATCAAATGCCTCACTGGAGTCTGAAAATAAAATAATAATAAAATAAAATCTTAAAAAAAAAACAATATACAAAAATCAGTGGTATTTATATAGAGTAACAATGAGTGATTCACAAAGGGAATTAAGAAAACAATTTCATTCACGACAGCATCAAAAAGAATAAACAAGTAGGAGGAAGAATTTTACTTGCCTATGGATTCCTAGGGATCCAAAGACCCCCAATTTACAGCCTGTGTTCTAAAATGACCTCCAAGGAATGTTTGTTTTCTAGTTCTACTAAGACAGAAGATATCAGTGAGGGGCCTGCTGCTTTTGTACTTAGCGATGGTTGTTGTTTGGGGTATTTCCTGTGATAGCTTCAGGCTCTGCCAGTGTTGAACAAAGTTCTGTGATCGCCATAAACACCCAACAGAGGAGCAGAAGGAGGGACTATATGTAGCTGTTTAGGTGTCCTGGGTTTAATGTGTAAAAAATGAAGCCAAGGAAAAGAAGGAATTAATAGAGTTGGTTATTTGGATGAATTTAACAAGTAATAACTAATCCAAATTACCCTGCACGCTGAAGGGGGTAGGAGAGATTTTTTAGAGGTCCTCAACTCTGAAGCTTACCACCACATTCCTAGCACATTCTGCCAAGATATTGTTCCTTTGGTTAAGTTGAGAGGGACTTAACTGTCTAACTGGCTCCACAACCAGCTATTTGAAAGCAGAATGCCCATAAGTGAAAGGAAAGCTAACCATCCCACTGACCTAAGGAAGAAAACTTGCCAGTAAAAGTCCTTTAGCTGGCCCAAAGAGGAGTAAGATAAATGATTTGAGGGCCTTCGACAAGCCCCTGCACAAGGATCTTGTGTCCCATGCCACCTGACCTTTGTGGCCTGTGTCCTTGGCTTGGCTAATGTCAGGTGTACCATCTTTTTCTGCTTCCCAGTGCAGCGGACCTTGCATCGGGCCTCACCTAGCTGTGCAACATAGACAAGTCTTCTGCCAGACACGGGATGGCATCACCTTACCTTCAGAGCAGTGCAGTGCCCTTCCAAGGTAAGAACAAACCCTGGCCTCCTTTGCCCAGCTCCTGTGCTGATAAAAAAGATGGTTATGAGTGAATGTTTCTTCTCCAACCTCCCCCAGTCCTAGGGATCACATGCCTGCCCCCTCACCTCTATATGCCCCAGAGGTAGATGGTTCAGTAGTGACCTTGGTGTTGCCTAACAGGCCAGGTTGGGCTTTCCTCTCTCTCTCTCTCTTTTTTTTTTTTTTTTTTTTTTTGGGGATTTTTTTTTTTTTTTTTTTTTTTTTGCTGTAAGACACATGTACTCACCAGAGACAGAGAGAGACTGAGAAACTTTGGAGAGATTTTTTGCTATAGGGCGCATGCGCTCGCCAGACAGACAGACAGAGACATAGAGACAGAAAGCGAGACATCACCCCCAGAGGGAATGGTCACACCGCAATCCCTTCTCCTCCATTCTCCTCTCGGGATCTTGGGCACGCACGCACACGTGCCCGGTGTGAGTTTTAAGCCACCGGGTCCGGGACGCAAACCGCGGTCGACTACATGGAAGTCCAGCGACATAGTCATTACGCTAACTGCTGGTTCCCAGACTTTCCTCTCTTACGGAAGAAGAGTACACAGGATGTTTTTTCTCTGAGTGAGGCCAATACCGCAGAGACCTGCACTAGCTCCCACTGCAGGGAAGTGAGATACACACAATGGCCACCAGACCTCAAGGTTTCACTGGCTCCTCACTCTTGCTGACCTCCCTCTAGAAGTTGGGCTGAAATGAGGACCCTTATTTCTGGGCCTCACCCTATCATTTCTGTCCAGCCCCTTTCCTGTCATACCTCCTTATAGGTGTCCCTCTGGAGGAAGAGTTTAGCACCCCTACCTAAGACCCAGCCCTGAGAGCAGACTCCAGGCTCTGCCTCTGCCAGCCTCCACGATCAGCAGAGCTCATTCTTGGTTCATGTGATAACATATACAGTGCAGAGAAGAGCAGGCTGAGGCCCTGTTCCAGGAAGCAACCTTCCCGAGATCTTATTGCATTCGGTAAGAGCAGAGATCAGAGCCCAGGCCTGGTAAAGTTGAACATTCTTAAGGAGAACAGATCCAAAGTTTGCAGCATTGTTTTCATATCCACTCCCTGATCTGGCCCCAACAGAGGCAGACCTTAACCCTGTTACCCTCTTCCTGCAGGCCTGTAAGCACCCAGAACTGCTGGTCAGAGGCCTGCAGTGTACACTGGAGGGTTAGCCTGTGGACCCTATGCACGGCAACCTGTGGCAACTATGGCTTCCAGTCCCGGCGGGTAGAATGTGTTCATGCCCGTACCAACAAGGCGGTGCCTGACCACCTGTGCTCCTGGGGGCCCCGACCCGCCAACTGGCAGCGCTGCAACATCACTCCATGTGAAAACAGTACGTTCCAACCCCAAAGAACCTTCTGTAAATTCCCCACAGGGCATCGGGTGCAGAGAGCAGCCTCTGGGACTGAGCCTGAGCATAGGGCATTGGACCAAGTTCCCCAAGGATTGTAAGCTGGGGCTGGAGTTGAGTCTTTTCTCTGGGGTGCATGGGAGTATGCAAGAATGGGTGCAAACATGTCCAGGTCACAAACAATGGCAGGGTATTCCCCAAGGACTTCCATGGTCTCCATCCTGAGAACCAGATGCTATTGGCCAAAGGCTTGATGGAATCAGCCTCTGGGTCACCTGCTGTCAGTCAGGGCCAGCCCACTAATGAAAAGCACTGTTAACACTGAAGAAGCACGCAGCATGCCCCGCTCAGCTGGCTCTGCACCCATCACTGCTCTGCTTCGACCCAACAAGGATCTGCTGACCACCTCCCTCCTTCCCAGCTCATGGGCAGCCCCTGAATCTGTGCAGGGGCCCATTCCTGGGGGTGCGATACTCACTTTATCTGCTCCTCCCTCAAGTTGGGTCCTCCCCAGCATTTGTATTACCACTGGGTAGCAATCTGTTTTCTTCCTCAGAACCCAAAACGCAAATTGGAGATGCTTCCTCACAACAAACAGGGAAAAGTTTGAGGCAAAGAATGGGAAACAGAAATGAAGTAGGAGCAGTGCTGTTTTCCCAAACTGGGCCTCCCTGAGTAATAGATTCCCAACGCTAAGGCAGATGCCTTTTGGGCAAATAGCCCATTTTTTCTTACACACTGTGAGTGGATGACCTTTGTGCTCCCATGTAGTGCTGACCATGTCTGCATAAGGGCTCACCACGCTCAGAGGGTAGTTAGACTGACTTACTGAACCCAATAGGCACCAGTATTAAAAGCCATTGATTCTGGGCCAATATTGCACTGAAGCATCATTGGGCTGTATTTAAGGCATGGGGAGTGGAAAGAGCCAGGAAGCTTGGGCGGAACAGACAAGAAAACAAAGCTTAACAGAGACAGTGAGCATGCTGGGGAATGATGGCACCTACTGGGGCCTCACCTGCACACTCCCTCCACATGAGATGGAATTCAGTCCGATGGGCACCATCTCAAGGAGAGTCACTTACTGAAATAACAGAAGTCTGTGGGAAAAGGCAAGCTCACCTAGACAGAGAGGTGATCCAGAGAGGACAGACACCACTGGGAGTGATTAGAAAGGAAGCAAAGCGCTCGGATGGCCCTGTCATACAGTCTGATGTCCACCCTAGCTGTTGGGGGGCAAGTAGCTGAGTTCTCCCAAGGGAGGCCCATCCAGAGAAGCTGGAGACTGTGGCCAGGCAGAACCCAGAAAGCACCCCAGTGGCCATATCCTTTACCCCTGTTTCACCTCTCCTTTCTGTCCCTTTCCCCACCCTCTCCCCCTTTCCCAGTGGAGTGCAGAGACACCACCAGGTACTGCGAGAAGGTAAAACAGCTGAAACTCTGCCAACTCAGCCAGTTCAAATCTCGCTGCTGTGGAACTTGTAGCAAAGCATGAAGACAGGGCACGGGAAAGGACTCTCCCTGGCCACACAAAGGACTCATGCACCCACCTTGGACAGAACTGACGCTTTCTTCATTTTATTTATTTATTTCCCCCTCCGCACTCCCAGCACACCGCCCCTCATCCAGCCTCCTTCCTTTGCCTTCACCTCCACCCCCATTCCTGAGGCCCTCAGCACGTTTTCTCTTTCAGTTAGCTGGAGGACAGAGTATTAGGAAAGAAAAAGGACAGATGTCTAAAGGAGGCTGCAGAGCTGGCCAGGCAGACAGCAATAACCCCTGCAGAGCCAGCTCCATGCCAAACCCGGGTCTCAAAGAGACCAAGGAAGAGGCTGGCCAGCCCCTGGGGATGGCAGGTAGCCAGCGGGTTTGTAAAGTATCGGTACAAACATTGGACAAGCAGCTGTGTCTTTCCTGGAAGCATTTCATTAATGCGGGAGGACATGCTCCTCCCATTTCCTCCTTTGCCTCTGCACCTTTGGTCATGGTAAGGACAGGGAGAGGGAAGGGCCACCATGCTGAGGCAGAAATAACTCAGAACCCAGCTTGGGGTCCAGGGAGAACTCAAAACACAGATGGGTAAAGGTAAAGGGAGACTATCAAAGTAGGCCTAAAGCCCAAAACAATGTGGCAAATGAAGTAGGGAGGAAAGGACAGGAGCAGAGAGCAGCCTGTGTGTATCGCAGTGGGAGGACTGGGCAGGCAGGAGGAGCTGTCAAGTAGGTCAGGAGGCTCACGTGCATGGCAGACTGAAGGCCCATGTAAGTGTGGCCCCTGTGTGCTCAGCACTGCTGCCTTCACGGAGGGCAAGAGAGCTCCCTCTAGTGGGGAGAGAGAGAGAGAGCCCTCACTCCTCGTGCCATCTGCATCAACTCCACTCCCTGCCCTGCCCTGCCCTGCCCTGCCCTGCCTATGCAGCTATGACAATCCAGCCAGAGGCCAGCATCTGACTGGGCAGCAAGGCCGCTTCGGCATCTCTTTATCCATATGGAGAGTCCCCAGCCCCACATTGCTGCTGTGGGCCAGAAACATTTTGAACAAGAATAGACCAGGCTTTCTGCCTAGATGACCTTTGCTGCTCCACTTGGAAAAGGCCAAGAACTGGGGTCAATCTGTCATAATCAATACATAAATCAGTTTTCCAGAGAGTATCTATCAGCTTGTAGCAACCACTTCATTCCAGAGCTGCCCAAGGGATGGGGTGGGATGTGGATTTGTGCGTGCACGCAGGACATCCCATCAATCCTGGCCACCGCAGTGGGTCTGCAGCCTCTCCCACAGCCCAGCATGAGCTACTGCATAGAGTATAGAGCAGGAGGGAGCAGGGCAGGACAGAACTGTGGCAATGCCACAGGGAGCGAAGCTTCCAAGACAGTCTTCAAAGATTTCCAGCCAACCTCCACACACAGTGAGATACTAGCAACTTTGACTGACATGCGCCAGTTTGGGCAAGTCCGTAATTCAGCCGGCAAAGCAGTGCACACTTCAACAACATACCTCGGCTAAGCCGAAATCGCTGCAGCAAAGTCACATGGCAAAACACAAACTATGAGAATCTTTGACAAATCGCTCATGAAAGGGAACACCTTTGGTTACAAATGGCCACAGTTTAGTATCCAGGACAAAGAAGGATGGCCAGAGTCCCTCGGCCTCCCATTACAAACACGCTCGTGAAATGCCACTCACCCTGACATCCAGGCTACACGCTTCAGCCAGCCTGGAAGTAAAAATCGGGAGGAAGACAGTATTCATCTGTGTCCTCCCAGGGGAGCTCTGGACCATTAGAATAGGTGTCTCTTCCTTCCTTATCACAAAGCAAGGCTCTAATAAATCTTGTTACTAAAAATCAGTGTAATGTTTATTTAAAATAAAAGAGAATGGTTTTTATGTCTGTATATCTTTTGTGAATATTTATTAGGATTTCTTGTATAAAAAAAAGTGCAATATTAATGATTGTACATTGTTATCCAGAAAAAAAATAATATTTGGGGGACTTTTTATTAACTTCCTGCAGTTGTGTTCCTGTAAACTCAGTGGTGATTATTGTATTTTTTCCTGTTTTATAATAGAGCCTGGTGTTTAACTCTGGTTCCATCCACTGTGTACAGAATACATTGTAAAAGCTAACATGGGGTACTGGAGCAATAGAGGGGATTCGTTTGACACAATAGTTATGCATGGGATGATGCAGACAGATCCCTTACTACTACTAATGTGGTTGATTATTTCTAGTTCAATAGCTGTTGCAAAGCAGCAGTCAATCTTTGCGTTTCCTAAGTAGCAGGCGTCCTCCAGCTCCGCCACGTGTCAGGTTGTAGCACTTGGAAGTGGGCTTTGGAGCAAGCTGGGGAGCCTAGAACTGGGGTGGACAGAAGTGTGCTCCTTGGGTGAGATGAATGTACATTTAATGTTGTTCTGTGAATTGCGACTCAGCAGCACCACGAGATTATTAGGGCTGCTGGATAATGTGGAAGGAGGTACTTCCTCCTCTAAAACACAAAACTGTATTTATATATTTTGTACAGATAATACAGCTTATTTATTTAAATCTTGTTGTCTGAGTCTCTATTAAGCTCAGCTTTCCCATCGTGTTTTATGCAGAGGAGGAGAAAAATCCCTGACAGCTGGGTGGTTCCTAGCCTGTTATGTGTGTTTGGCTGAAGGGGAAGAACTGCAGTTTTCAGCTTTGACTGGGAAGCGGAAAGCCCGGGCTGGGCAGGGCCAACTCTGTAAATGAAGCCAGGAGAGCTGCATTTGTAGATAAGCCCACGTTCAGGCTAAGTGCTACCAAATGAGATGCCCAGTGTTCTCATCTCCGACCCTAGAGAGTGGGAAGGTGGACACCAAAGTACCTTCAAGAAGAAAAGCAAGCAAGGGCATCTCTTGGGATTGATGCAGACCTGAGTGTAGGATTATCCTCATCCCGAGCCAGGCTTCCTGCCAGCTGAGGTGCACACAGTGTGGAGCAGCTGCATGGCGGAACTGTGGATACAGCCGTGAACAGAGGCTGACATTTATTGGTCACTAGTAGATTTAATCTTCACATCGCCTCTCTGACTATCCCTATTTACATACAGGTCAATAGAAGCTCAGAGAAGCCGAGGGTCACCCAGATGGTGGAACCAGGATTCAAACCCAGACAGCGTGACTGTAGCTAAAACCTCACTTTTATCACCTGTGCTGCCGCCTCCTGCCCCTGTGCTAGAACTGACCAGGCAATGGCCACCTTGGCTCTCTCATCATTTGTCCCTACTAATTTGAGGTTGGTAGAAGATGACAATAGGACATTTTATTGGAGCTGTTGCTTTTATTGCTGTTGCTTTTTTTCCTGCCCAAAATTCAATTTTTTTTTCACATTATAGGGCTCTTAGCTCCCTACTTTTAAAGCATTTTGTTAGCAATATAGCTACTGTGGAAAGTGTACACAAAACAAAAGCACATTTGTAGGGTTCCTCATAAATGGGCTTTTTTTTTTGGAGAGATTTTCACTGTAGGGCGCGTACGCTCGCCAGACAGACAGAGAGAGACATAGAGACAGAAAGCGAGAAATCACCCCCCAGGGGGGATGGTCACACCACAATCCCTTCTCCTCCATTCTCCTCTCGGGATCTTGGGCACGCACGCACACGCGCCCGGCGTGAGTTTTAAGCCACCGGGTCCAGGACACGAACCATGGTCGACTACATGGGAGTCCAGCGACATAGCCATTACGCTAACTGCTGGTTCCCCTCATAAATGGGCTTTAACAAAAGGGCAGCCATGGTCCCAGGCTTGGATGATGTCTACACAGGGACCACTGTGAGAGACGCTGCAGGGGACCTACAGCTTGAGAGCCGACTCTAGCCTGTTTTCCAACAACTCACTACCAGAGAGCACATCTTGAAATTTCAATTATTTTTTAAAAAGGTGAGGTTTTGCCTTAAAGGAAAAGCCAATGCTAAAATTATAAATACATATCAGCAACCAAACATCTTACAGAGGCTCCAGAGCAAGGAGAGGAGCTGAAGATGCCAGAACAAGTACCCAAGAAGACTAAAATGGTGGGAAGGTCTCAAATAGAATGTATGGAAATTATTCCAGCCAAAATCACGGACCTCAGCATAGCAAAAAAGAGATTCTTACCAAGATGTCACCAACCACAGTATGAAAGTTTGGAATCTTAATTAACCACAGGCCAGCAGGGATCTATAACTCTCATACTAGAGTCCCCTGCTTAGCCCCAGAAGTTTCTAGGACTTGAACAAGATAAACCCGGGAAACCTGTGGCCCATTAAGACCAAAATGGTCAACAGTCACCAAAGCTTGTTCATGCCTCAATGTCTTCTATAGGAGGATACCTCACGGAGGAAGATCACTGTGATAAAATTAGTTAATTCATATTGAAAAAATTCAAGAGGTCTTCAAAATTTCATAGAAAATATTATGAGAAAGCTATTCATGGATTTCTTTTTTGCACCAAAATAGTCTCATACTGTATTTCCATTTCTCCACAAACCCTCATATAAGGGTGCACATCACTGGCAAATCAGTGAGGTACTCATTAAACGTTAATTGCTATTATCATGGTCATCTAAGCTACCTTGAAAGAGATAAGGAGATGAAGAGAGAGGAGGCCAGAATTTTTGCTATCTCATGTTATTTCCCATTTTCACCTTTTAGACAATTTGATAGTTTATAAACTTTGTCAAACTCCCATGTTTCTGTGTTTCTTTGAAAAGAAAATCAGGTAAAGCTCAGTATTACACAACAGTATAAACAAGAGAGACACTAGTGAACCGAGTTCTCTGTCTTGGAAGAAAACAGGTCAGCTGTGTAACTAACTCAGAGTCTCACCAAAATAATAATAAACTGCCAGAAATACTTCCCAGGACAGATGGTATCTTTTAATCCCAATGTACAGCCTAGCCTCAACCAAAATGCCCAAATACACATATAACTACCATTTTTTTAAGTTACTAAAAAACAGAGAAATGCTCACTCGTGAATATACAAGTAAAGTGAAAACTGAAGTTAAGGATCTCTCACTTGCCAAGTGGTAAGAGTTTCTCATAAACAACATGCTTTACCCCCTCATTTCATCCTGCTAATAAACCCAGGGGCAACAACCCAACTTTATCAATGGTTCTCAGCTAACATTAGACAAGTTAGATCTCACTCATCTTTCTGTGGGCTCCCAAAAGTAGTAAGGGCCATCCACAAAGGGAAAGGGAATGGTGAGATAGATAAAAAGAGCTCTTGGGAAATAACCCAACAAAAATTTACCTGTTGTGGGGGGCCAGCAGGTTGTGTGGTAGTTAAGGCACTGGAGCCCACATGGCCAACTCCATGGTATAAGTCTCAGACCCAGCACTTGAAAAATTACACCAGGCACATGTGCGTGCATGCCCAAAATCCCAAGAGGAGAATGGAGGAGAAGCAACTGGCATGGCCATCCCCTCGGAGAATGATTTCTCACTTCCCCTCTCTGACTCTCCTGAGTGTGTGCATACACTATGGCAAAAAAAAAAAAAGTATTTTTAAATAAAATTTTTTAAAAATTGACTTGTTATGTAAGTAGCCCAAGGAGGGCTTAGGAAACAAAGTAAGGGCTAAGCCCTTTGGTTTTGTCTTTTCCTTTCGCTTTGTTCAGTGAAACAGCTGTGGTTTACAGACTTCAGGATTCAAACTCAGTATACACTGAATGTGAGTTAAATCAGTGAAGGTTCTCTACCTTGTCACATACTACCAAACAGAAAAATACCCATATCGAACAGATGAATTGTACCAAGTTTTAACCGAAATTATTGTCTGTTCCCCTACCCACCTCCCCAGCCAGTCCACTTGGAGACGCTTTTTACAAGGTAAATGTGCATGTGCTTGTCAGAGACTTACTTTTTGGCCGAACATAAACTGCTTTTATTGTTTTTTATCTAAAAGTTTATCTATTTTTTCTCTTCTGAGAGACACAGAGACAGGCACCTCCTCAGGGTCTCATACTGTGAACCCTGTTCTATCCTTAGCTTTCTCAGATTGAACCAGGATCTACACCCCCATCTTCCATGTGGCCCATCTTACCCCTTCTCAGCCGGGCCGGAAGCTCAGCTTGTTATTCACACCACACCAAAATTTCAACTATTTCATTGCCACCCCTAAACTTGAAGGGAGATACTGGCAATCAAGCCTTTGCCAGCAAGACGGGGCAATTGCCTGGCTTGTCAACTAGAGGTTTATAACTTCACCCAAACTCTGTGAGCCCCCTGGTTCCAATCAACCACATGTGCCATGCCTCTGACAACACAATATACAGATGTCATTCACCTCTGTGTTTTCAAAAGGCAAAATCCATCTTCAACCAAGGATTTCCCAGGTTGCTTCTAAAGAGATGGTTTATATGTGTGTAAACAGAAATTAAATGTGCAGTTTTATGTGAGTGGGGAGAAAGCAGACAGTGGGGAATGGCTCTCCTGCCAAACGTAAATAATGTTTGTTGAAGCAGAATGCCTAGGAGGGCCCGAGAGACCGTGTGGTCAGCATGAAGAGTAGATAGCATGCCTGGGAAACCCGCCTCCTCCTCAGGGGCTTCATGATAGCCAGGGTTGACCTCGTTACAATCCCATGAACAGTCGACAAGCTGTGAACAACTTACCAGATGAGCAGCTCTAGGAAATGCTTAATGGTCAAGGCCAGGAGCATGGTGATGAAGTGTCATCAGCTTAGTCTTCTTCCCTTAACCCCTACCATTGTTTTTTAAAATAGCAATGAAAGGGCCAGGAAATGACTTAGCTGAGGTCAGCAAAGGATGACAAGTTGTTCAGTCATACATCCATGTATTAGGTTGTTGGAAAAGTCACGTTGCATTTTTGCATAGAAAAATATATCATGACTTTTCCAACCACCCCATTGTCCTGTCCTAAGGCTGGAGCTCAACACATTACAGTGCTAGGGTATAGAGAAAATGGTAGCTCCGTGGACTCCTGAACCAAGTTTCTTCAGCTTACACAGGCCTCTCTCTACTGAACTAGAGAGACTCAAGTTTACCTAAGAGAAGGACCCCAGGATCTCTTTGCACTATGAGGTTTTGCCTTTGCCCTTGGGTCCAGGTGGGATGGAAAACCACCAAAGTCCTAATCTTATCTTAGTGGTCCTCACTCTATACCCCTCTGCCAGATGGGCCTCTATCTTTTCTCATCTCCTTCTTCCTGTTTTCCCATCATATACATTTCCTTTACCCACAGACACTCTTGCTAAGCACCAACTCTAGTCTCTGAAGACACAAAGGTGAGAGCCCAGGTCCTTAAGTTAGAGAGTCCACTTGGGAAGCATATATATACCACAACTGACAAGGCGCCTACTCCAATTGTGAAATCCAAGTTCTGGGAAGTCTCCAGCTCTTCCTCCTTGGGCTTCTTCCAAAGTTAATACTCAGTGATGGCTCCCTGTAAAACCTAGTCCTCTCTCACTAGGGCTTTTGCAAAGTCTCTGACTAGACTCTTCAAATCTAGTCTGGTCTCTTTCAGAGAAATTTCACTTAGCCTCTAAAACTATTGTTA